CTTTCTTCTCCCATTGCTTAAAGGCAGATTTCTATCTTGGGGATGACCATAATGTTTTTATCAGGAACACAGCACAAAAGTAAAAGAACCAATTGAGATTCTCAGATGCGAATGTCAGTCTTCTGTTTGAAATAGGAAAGGACAGAGTAGCCAAAATTCTAGTGTGGTAGTGTGTGTATGTTTCTTGCATTTCCCCCCATGTCTGTTGAAGATTGAATTACAGAAAGTAGCATTCTGAAAATCTGCTTCTTGTGCTTTAAAGCCAACTCATATGACTGCAGATTTAATTTTTGTCATGCTTCTAGAGTCATCAAATCATCATTGGACCAAAATAACAGCAATGAGGAGAAGCTTTGTATTCTTTCAGCAATGGCCGTGGGAGGCTCTGAAGATGCTGTAGGTGGGAACTGGCTTTGCTGACAGGAAGTATGCCATATTAGAAGGTGATGAATGGGATCTGATCCAACAGAGCAGCTCTTACAAATAACTGCATGGATTGTGTCAAGCAAGAAAATACATCCATTTTTTAAAATGTTATTTTATCCACTCAGATTGAGGACACCCCCAGAAACAATTAGTGGAATACATTCTAGTCATTAATTTCCTTTAAAATGTTCAACATTTTGACATTTATTAAAACAAGTATATAATGAATAAATATAATCATTTCTTCAACAAACTCAGGAATGTGCAAAATTAGTCAGGCAGAAGCCAGGCTGGAATCCTCTCCTCGACCCTCTGGCTGTCTCTGCTCCATTGATGAGACAAAGTGACAGAACTGACCATCAAACTGTCAGGGAACTTCTTGAGAATTTTCTAGAAACCCTCTGGATCCATCCAGTAAGAGTCACTTAGGTGAAATGGGCAATGTAGAAATTTGATAGATAGAAAATAAAATAAACTGGGGCAGACTATCTGAATAAGTCTACCCACCTTATAAAGGTCCATGATGTGCAGTTAAATGAGGAAATAAGCTGACGATAGACAGGGGCAGATGTTAAAATCTTCTATTTTCAGATCATGTCTCATCTGCTCTGAATAAAGTTCAGGTCCAATGTGTACCCTCTCACATATGTTAGGGCTGCAATTATTTGTAACAAGCCTACGGTCACCCTGGAGGCATTGAACTCACAAGCTGCACCAGACTCCTTTCCCAGGGCAAGACTAATATTCTTGGAAATTGTAACACCAACCCGAGGACAAGGTCTAGAACAGACATGTCAAACTCGCGATATCACGTGACATCGCGCAACATATCGGAGCTTTTTCGCCATTGCCGGCAATGGGGTGGGCGCGGCTCCGGTATGATGAAACCGGCCCACGGGCCAGCAGTTTGACACCCCTGGTCCAGAAGCTCATGAAGGGTTGGTATTGGAGAGTAAGTAATTGATACACCAGAAGCAGCCTGTGAGAGAGTAGGCTGCCTAAAAAGAAAATTGCCAATACCTGTGCTTGCTTGCCGCCCTTCTCTTTAAGCCCTCTCCCCAGAGGCTGCATGACAAGGTTAACTATAAAAGCTTTGCTGCAAAACAGCTGAGGGGATGGGGGGGAGAAAGAGAGGAGGAAGAGATTTTTCTCTAGGAATACTCATAAGAAGTAGTTGATGGAGTAACAGTAGCAGTGGGGAAGAATGGAGAAGAATGAATAGTAATAGTATGTGAGCATGTGGACTATATGTGTGTTAGCTTTTTTCTGTCTTGATCCACCAAAGTGGGTATAAATTAAAAGAACCTATGACATAACCTCACTTGAAGGCATGATCCAATTCTACACAGAAACCTCCCCAATGCCTGCACCATACCTTTTCCTGCTTGTTACGGTATTTGTAGGAACCCCTACTATGTCATCACTGTAAGCTCACCTGATCTCATTCTTGCGCGATCTAGCACACCAATTATATCATCAGCAATGCTCAAAACAGTCTGCAATTTGGAGAGTGCTAAATTGGAGGAAGAAGGTTGGTCTATGTATACTTACTATAAGTTTTCAAATCCCTAATTGGGCCAGCCAGCTGATTTGACTTATATCTTAGCTGTCGCCCTCACTAGATAGACAAGACCAGGAAATAAGGCTCCACAGGAAAGCAAAAATATCTATTGAGATTGGCTATAACAATCTTGCGAGTCTGATTATGTTATACCCTGCCCCTCCACTTTCTTATTCTCCCGTTAGGGAGGCATCTGCCCTGAGTCTCTTAGCTCATTGTTCTGGTCTTTAAAAAAGTTGCATCTCTTTTGCCTAGGTAATGTTTCCATCAAAGCAATCTTTTCTCATCCTACTATTTAATTCATAGTTCAAAAATATTTCTGTTATTGGGGCTTTACAAAATAGTTCAGGAGGCCCAAATCCACAAAGGAAGTTAGGAATAAACATATTATAGGGATTCAGTGTTAGGCTTCCCCATTGGCAAAATGGTAAGTACCAGAGAATTATATAGTTGACATGCAACAGAAGTTCTGTAGAGGGAACCCCCTCTATTGCAGTGGAGAATCTGAGTGAATAAGGAACTAGATCAGACCTGGGCATTTTATGGCCCCCGACCACATGTGGCCTTTTGCTGTCCCTATCTGGCCCATATGAAGTCAATCAGAAATTAGAAATCAAAGGTAAGTAAGTGTATACCATGCTTGTAATACAACTACATTGCTTTTATTTTGAAGGCAACTGGTATTTTTTAAAAAAATTACTGCACCTCTATGAGTGCATGCCTATGCACCTTCATAGCCCTATTAGTTCTGCTCTCCACAACAGTCTCAGTTTCTCATGTGGCTGCTTGGGAAAATTAATTGCCCACCCCTGATCTAAATATTGTTACCTGTAGCACAGCGGTTCTCAACCTATGGGTCATGACCCTATTTGGGGTCGAACGACCATTTTACGGGGGTCGCCAAACAACGCGATCCGCCATTTTTCCTCCTCAGGGGGCCGCGCATGCGCGCCGCGTCCGTGTGACCGGGGGTCACCGTATAAAAAGGTTGAGAACCACTGCTGTAGCATAAGGAGCCCTTTCTAGTACCGGCCTAATATATGGCCAATGAAGGGTGTAGCTGCCATGGCCATCAAGTGCTAAGGGGACAGACAACAGCAGACAGCAAGATACTCGCATGTGATTGATATTGCTAATAATTCTGATTTGCCTTTGCATTAGGTCAGAATCAAAGAAGCAATCTGTAGTGCTATAGTTAGAGTTAGCAGCAAGTGATCAAAATACATATTAAATGAAGTGAACTGAGATCCATGAAAGCTCATGTGCTGTGACACATCTTAGTGAAATGGTTGTTTAACAACTCAGATAGCAATCTCTATTGTTTAACAATTCAGATAGCAATCTCTATTGCAACAAAAAGATTTGAAACATGTAAGAAAACAACAAGGTTTCAGCAAGAGGGATGCTTCAGTGCTGATTCACAACTTACAAAGCAACTGGCAACGCAACAATACCTTGTCTGGAAGTCTTTGGCCTTTAAAGGCCTGCAACTTTAGACCTAAACACTGGCAACATAGTTTTTTGGCTCATACTGTAAATAAACTTTGGGGCATTTTGGAGATGTATTACAAATATTGTTTTATTTTGGAGTTGATTCTCACATCGGAATTTATTGATCCTGAGTCATTCTCACTTTCAGATCCTGATGTTAGGAAGTTACGGTCAGGATCCTTATGATTCTGCTATCCTCTTCATGCATTTTGGGATTGACTGTAGCATCTGAACCTGCCTTTTAAAGAAGTCAAATGTAATAAGAAATAAAATTGTAGAGTAAATGATCTTGCAGATTAATCTGTTGGACAAGGTTCAGCACAAGAACGATGAGATTAGAAACCTGCCATCTATAGCAAAGCTTTAACTAAAAGTCAAGAGCCCATATAGACATGATTCAAGATAGCTTATACATTGGGATACCTTGCAATGTTGTGACAACTCTAAAATTCATGTTGTGAAGCCTGGTGAGTGCAAAGGGAATGTCTCTTCCCATTTTCTGGTGTAGGTCAGTGATTTCTTTTGGAGGCTCTGACAGTTTTCTCCAACCTAGTGCTCCATGGATCTGTTGGACCCCAAACTTTGATTTTCAATCCCCTGCCACCCAGAGTGCCAAGTTAGAGAAGGCAGATTTCAAAATCACATAAGCTGTCTACCCACATAATTGTGGGCTTCCTGTTATTTCAGATGAAGTCAGTAGTTTAATGCTTATCATACTTAGTTTTGGTAGTGAATAGCTGGCTGACTAAGCTCTTTAAGTATCTGAATCCAAAAGGCTCATAATAATCTTGGCTTTAAATTTCTTCCAGAAAATAATTTTCAAAGAAAGGGGAGAAGTAATGTTGACAATTGAAGTGTCGTCCTTAATATTAATAAAAGAATTATAGAAATATCAAAGCAACTGGTTTGGAGCATACTTGTTCTAATCTGTTCAGAATGAGCAAATAATCTAGGATTTACCACACTTTTGATCTTATTTTCCAACCTAGATTTGTTGAGACTTCAGCTCCCATCCCCACCCTCTTCCCCATCACCAGCATAGTCAAATTGCCATGCTAGCAAGAAATTAAGGCAAGTGAAGTCTAACAAACCATGGGAAGAAGTGCTCAGAAATCACCATGTTGGGAAAATTTCTTTTGACAAGTTCACTACAAGGATAACTGAGCTTAGAGTCCTGTCAGTGCCTTCCTGACACTATCATCTTTCTTCATCAGGCCTATGGCTAGCTCAGGAATTCTGCGAGTTGGTCCACAAGTCATAACAGGGCCATAGTTCCCCACCCCTGACCTAGTGCAAGTGTAGACAGCCCTATGTTATTTGGAATACCTATTTAATGATGGAGGGGATTGCAACGATAGTTTGGGGACATTGATGCAAAGTGAATGGAGCTGCATCATACAAGAGGGAGCAGATCTTAGCTTGATCATTGCATCCTTTAGTTTGTCGAAGTGGGCAAAATCGTTCTATCCCTTCCTTGTGCTATGCAGGGTCTAACGTCTTCTCTGTTTCTCTTCCTTTCCAGCCATGGTGCCTGTGGGGAGAAATGCCGGGTTGTCCTACCTGCTCTGCCGTGGGTGACAAAGAGAACCTCTCTATTGACAGCTGTGCCCCTGAGTGTCCTGCACAGTCTCAGAGTGGCTCACTCATCCATTTACAGAGAGGGGCTGGAACACAATGAACAAACTGAACTTCCACAATAACAGAATCATGCAGGACCGACGAAGTGTCTGTATTTTCCTCCCCAATGACGATTCCCTCAACATCATTATCAATGTGAGTGAACTGTCACCCATGGGAGTGTCTGAATATCTATTTTTCTTTAAACACACAACCTATGTAAGAGCAGAAAACTGCATCATGGTAATTTGGTGATTTATGTTCCAATCTTAATGCAGGTAGTTCTTGACTAATAAGCACAATTGGGACCCATAGCACAATCTCCATTGCTAGGCTAAGTGATTCTTACCTAATTTTACAATATTTTTATGGTGGTGGTTAAGCAAATTTCTGCAGTTGTTAAGTGAATCATGCAGTTGTTAAATAATTCCAGTTTCCCCATTGATTTTGCTTGTTGGAAGCTGTTTGGGAAGGTTGCAAAAACCCTGGGATGCTGCAACCATCCTGAATATACATGCCAGTTTCCAAGCACTGACATTTTGATCACATGGCCATGGGGATGCTGCACAGTCATAAGTGTGAGGACTGTTGTAAGTCACTTTTTTCAGCCCCATTATAAGTTTGAATGGTTGCTAAACAAATAGTTGTAAGGCAAGGACTACCTGAAAGCCAGTCTTTGAGAGTTCTGGAGGCTGCTCACAGTTTTGTCAGTTTTGCACTTAATGCTACTTTGATTCATCTTACTATCTCCAGCATGCTTCTCTCGAGACCCAAAACATTGTGCCTCCAGCTCTCGTTTGCTTTTACTTTTTCCAGTGCTGTTGTAACTTTGAACAGTCACTAAATGAACTGTTGTAAGTTGAGGACTTCCTGTATCTGTATTTTTGTGAAACTGCAGCAATATTAAGTCTTGCTCTTAAGCCATACTTCTGTCATTCTTTTCTTTCTAGCTTTTTTGTTGCTTTTAATACCCATCCCTTGATTTCTGTTTAAGAAATAAAATGCATCATTTATGTTTGGGAAGAACCGCAAATGGAGTTAATGTACAGTTTTGTATTGATAAATTTGTGGGGAGAAAAAGGGTTAAACTGGCTTTCCTTTTTTTTTTTTAATCCCTTCTCCCCTCTGCCCCCAGGATGCTCTTCAGTCAAGCTGAAGGTATCCAGCATTGCTTTATCTGATGAAAAAAAAAATCTGATTTACCTCTAAGAAGGCAAATGATAAATCTATCCATCACCCAAATTGTTTAGCCAGTGCAAACATTTTAGGATGGCTGAAACTCATCTTCCACAAATGCTCCTGACATTGCTGACTTCCACAAATTGCCTTTTGAAAATAAGAGTACTTTTCTAGCTCTTCATGGTCTCATTGCTGTCCTTAAAACACTCTGTCAACTAAAAAGAAAAAAGAAAGCAGCTGTTATCTTACCATATCTCCATTTCTCTTCCAGAAGTTGTTTATCCCAGCTCAGCAATAAGAACAGATTTGTTTTTGGAAATAGGAGGCTTTGAGTTTAATATCGTGATTGTTTGGTGTTGCGTAAAATTTTGGGTTCTTGATGTTCTTCTAATTCACTTTTCTTTTGGCAGATGCTTTATTCTTAGACTGTGTAACATTCACCTAATCTGAGAATAAAATATCTGCCAGAAGAACACCAAGATCAGAGAACACCAGAAACCAAGAAATTCCATCCTAAGCAATAAGTATTCTCCATTTTTGCTATATAAAAATGTCTACATTTCCTGGCCAAATTATTCTTCAGTTCAGTGAGTTTTTAGGAATTAGAGTTTTATCCTATGTTTTTTTAACCTAATTGGACCACTCTCCATCCTCTTCTTCTGTATATTTTTGTTTGTTTTTTAAGAGATGCTTACACTGCTCTTTTTTCCCTTCTTGTTACTAAGTTTGGCTTAGTGCCTTCCTGACAAGATCTTGCAGGATCAAGAGAGACCTGCTGGAAATGAGATAATGTCACAGTGGCGTATTTTATTTACCTTCTTTTATCAAAATTGGCACCAAATTGATACATGTAAGCAGGTGCCTTCTTTTTCCCTAGCTCCTCACAATTAAATCTCAATTTAAGTCCAAATTCTTAAATTAAGCATACAAAATAGCAAAAGATAAGATTTGAGGACTTCTCAGTGTGATGGATTTTGCTAGTTTTTATTTGTTATCAGTTAAAAAAGAAGAAAGATTAGATAAATTCTAATGAGTAGCATTTTGTCAGATGAAGTCAGCAAAAGTTAGCAAGCTGTGAAAGCCTAGGGGACTCTTGCTTTTATGTAATTTGTTATATAAATAATTCAGCCTGCTTTGGCCATAGCTTGCTAGGTCTTTGAATACCATATTTTCCGGCGTATAAGACGACTTTCTAAAGCGTGGAAATTGGCACCGAAGTTGGGGGTCGTCTTTTACGCCGAGTTGCCTGATATGCTGGAAATTACAGTAGTTTTTGGCATATAAGATGACTTTCTAGGCATGGAAATCGACGCCGAGTCGCCTTATACGCTGGAAAATACGGTAAGCTGAGTTTGTGGTATTTTACCTACCTGAGTAGTTCTTGTTTTATGTTGATCGTTGTAGTTCCTTAATAAAAATAAGAGTAATGGCACAATAACTTTCCTTGCAATTTCCCCTGAAATTCTTGCTAAAGTAATTACAGATTGAACTATTTCCCCTTTCCTTTGCATTCTGTAGGTTAAAATATTGTGCCATGAGTTACTTATCCAAGTTTGTGACCTGCTAAGGCTGAAGGATGGGCATCTGTTTGGGCTCAGTGTGATACAAAGTAAGTCTAAATGAAACAATGCTATTTCTGTAATTCTCTACTAACTTTGTGTTTGGGTCATTGATCTTTGTTAAACCTCTGCTTTTTGCACAGGTTTGATATTGTTCGATATTTGTTTGCTGCAGAAAAATCGAATTGATGAAGAATTATAAAGTAATACTTTCAAGTATAACATAACAATAAATCAGTATCATAGAGCCAGCTTGATGTAGTGATTAAGCTACCAGGCTACAAATCCAGAAATCTAGTCCTAGCATAAGCACAAATGTAGCAGGATAACATTGAGCCAGTCACTCTCTCTACCCTAGGAAGGAGGCAATGGGAAACCATTTCTGAAATCTTGCCAAGAAAATTGCAGGGATTAGTCCAGGCAGTTACCAGATAAGTGACTGCCTGGACTAAGTATCAGAGGCTAGATACATAGTCTCACTAAGATGTATCATAGTTTGTTTGATTTTGGCTTAACCACTGTAAGAATCTAACCATTTGGTTTAAAATCTCAGTGCATTACATGAACCAAAACAAGTCTTCATTATTTAATAAATTAAGTAAACTATGCCAACCAAATATGCAAACTTGATCAATATTTTTGATTATAAACTGAAGCAATGGGCTGAAGCTACAACTTAAAGTTGACATACCTTGCAAAAACTATAATTGTTTCTAAAAATAAAATAAAATACTAGAGTCCTTGAATAGATAATAGGTAATAATTTGCTACTTGGACCTTTACCATAGACGTATCAGAGTAAAAGTATAGAAACATTGAGCTATCAGGATTCTCCTTAAGAAATCAAACTTTCTTAAGCAAACAAAAGAATGTCATTAGCCTTGCTATAGTGTTTGCAATAGATATGCAAATATGCAATTTTTGCAACATTTTAAAAAAATGGACAAGTTGTGCTAGAAGAATAAATTATTGAATGCCGTTTTTTAAAATGTCAATTTCCTGAAGGAAAGCTCATGAGGAAATTCTATCTTTTTTTTTTCTCTCAGTAGAAATGCTTCAGCTGGTCCACAAAAGCAGCTTTTATAAGTTTGGCTTTCCTTAGTCATAAGTGCATCATTGTTACTGTTTTTAAAAGAATGTCAGAAAACGCTTTGCTCAGCCTGCATACAAAATGCAATCTTCTTGTCCCTTTCTGTGGCAGATAATGAGCATGTATATATGGAATTATCCCAGAAGCTCTACAAGTACTGCCCAAAAGAATGGAAGAAAGAAGCGAGTAAGGTAGGAGTGCCACTCTGGTTTGTGGTCAGGAGGATTGAAGTACGGAACAATTGCCTATTTACACCACAAACTTGCCTTTTTTTGCCATTGCTGTGGCTAGTAGTTTTATGCACTCTAGCCTTATTCACCCCACCATATGTTGTATGTGAGGCATTAGCAGAAGGGCCGCCTAACATTGTCAATTATCTGATACACAAGTGCAGCATTGGGGTTACTTCACAGTGATGGTTCTCCCACAGTGAACATTTGAGAGAGAAACACAAGTTGCGGTTCAATTTCTAAAGGCAATTTCTGCATGAACTCAAAGTCCAAAATACTGAATGTTCTTAGCTACAATGGGGATCAATTTATTGTGTGTATGAATATACTCTTTCATCACAAGCCCATCAACAGGGTCCTAATTATATGTATTAAAAGTAAAAGCCAGTATCCTTGGACATCTGTGACCTTAGTGAGATTGTATCAACCGCTGGGCCATTATAGATGTGTGGTTCCTAGTGTTGCTCATATATCTGCAATGTCTTTGGAAGCAGTCAGAGAATTGAGAAAATTGCAAAAACTACAAAATCTCTACATGCCTAGTAGTGGTGAGGAGGAGGAGGAGGATTTAAGTTTTTATGCCACCCAACTTTCAATGATTCAGCAAGAGAATGAGCAGCAATTAGGAAGGGATTTGTTCAGGAAGGGGCATCCTTGGAGCATTTTTATCAGCCACCTTCATTAAATTCAACTCCATCACAGTCTCCTTCAAAATGATTTGAATTAGCTCAGAGGAGCTCAAGCTCTTTGGCCAGTGAGCAAAGGTGAAATTTGAGAAAATTGCCTCTTCACAAAAGGAAAACCATAATGATGGCACAGAAGGCAACAAAAAAGCAGACAAGAATATCCACCCCAAAATTTATTATATAGCTATAGCACTTAGACTTATATACCGCTTCATAGTGTTTTACAGCTCTCTCTAAGAGGTTTATAGAGTCAGCATATGGCCCCCAACAATCTGGGTCCTCATTTTACCATCCTCGGAAGGGTGGAAGGCTGAGTCAATCTTGAGCCGGTGAGAATCGAACTGCCAAACTGCAGGCAGCCGGCAGTCAGCAGAAGTAGCCTGCAGGACTGCATGCTAACCACTATATCATCATGGCCTAGAATACTACTTTAAGCAGTAGACTAAATTAAACCAAATAAATTAGCCTATGCTAATTTTTAAAATTGTGATCTTTGACATCTTTTAGTAAGTCCTGCCCCTTCTGGACATAGTAAGGATCCTAATGAAAGTTGTTATGGCTTGAAGCCTAAAGGACTCCAAGAGCGTGTCTTGAAGACACATTGTTACTTCTGGGCATTGCATTGGGGCCCCACTGGGCCCACTGGTCTTACAATGAAACAGCCAGCAGCTTTAATATAAGAGCCATTTTAAAGACACTTTTATTTCCTTTTTTCAGCTCAAATAAGATGCTAAATAAATAGAAGCCAAGTAATCTCAAGTTGATAGGCAATTTTCTAAGAAATGAAATATTAACCAAAAGTTCCCTGTTCTCTAATTCCACAATTTATTTATTTCTCAGTCTGATTTCCCATCTCACTCATAAAACTGACTCAAGTCCAGTTACCATAAAAATGTAGTAACATCATGCACTCCAAAACAAATGACACAGTAAAGAACATAACCTATAAATCAGTCAGTTGTGCCAGACGCTTCAGAGATCTCGGCTCTCATTTATGAAATGAGATCCCAGAAAGATTTGAGCTTGCCCCAAGATAAATTAAAAGTAGTATGGGGAATATCTCATGAAATTAACATTTGGAGTCCTGTGAGATTTGACCTACACGCCCTCCCTCAAGTCACTTTCCTTTGCTGTATCCAGACAAAAGACCAAAGAGTGAAGCTCAGGCATCACTTGGGGTGGAGAATAATCTAAAATTTGGGTTAAGGTCTCATTCCAATTGCTAATTGATGGACAAAATGTTGTAAACAGTGTGTTCCTGCACACTTCTGCCAATTTCCTTGGCAAAGAAGATTGCAATTTAGCCAGCTCTGTTTCTCTATCATAGTGTGCCTCCAGCTGGTGCTCCTTATAAAAACAGACAGAATAATTAGAAAAAATAGGATCTCAGGTTTCTGGATAAAGATTACTCATCATTAGGGATGTAGCTGACTGTTGGTTATTAGAGGAGATATTCTTTAAAGGCTGGACACAAGCAAGAGGTTGTTGCAAAGGGCCATCTCAGCAGCCCCTGCAGGAATAGAAAGTGGACTAGATATACTTTTGGACTGATCCAGCAGAGGTCTTTTTATGGCCCTCCCTTTGCTCAGTCTGGAAACTGACATTTATATTTGCTATTTATTGCAGGGTATAGACCAGTTTGGTCCCCCAATGGTCATTCACTTTCGAGTGCAGTATTATGTGGAGAATGGTCGCTTGATCAGGTAAGTTTCAGGAAGCCAAATTACGAAGAGTGGAGAGAATGTGTATTCATCAGAGAGTTCTGTTCAAAGCCTTTATACTAGAGCAGGGATGGGCAACCTTGGCTCTTTTATGACTCGTGGACTTCAACACCCAGAATTCCTGAGCCAGCCATGCTGTCTCAGGAATTCTGGGAGTTGAAGTCTACGAGTCATAAAAGAACCAAGGTTGCCTACCCCTGTACTTGTTGTTGTTGTTGTTAATTGCGAAGTCGTGTCCGACCAATCGCGACCCCATGGACAACGTTCCTCCAGGTCTTCCTGTCCTCTACCATCTTCTGAAGTCCATTTAAGTTCACACCTACTGCTTCAGTGACTCCATCCAGCCATCTCATTCTCTGTCGTCCTCTTCTTCTATTGCCCTCAATCTTTCCCAGCATTAGGCTCTTCTCCAGTGAGTCCTTCCTTCTCATTAAGTGGCCAAAGTATTTGAGTTTCAACTTCAGGATCTGGCCTTCTAAAGAGCAGTCGGGGTTGATCTCTTCTAGGACTGACCGGTTTGAATGCTTTGCAGTCCAAGGGACTCGCAGGAGTCTTCTCCAGCACCATAGTTCAAAGGCCTCAATTCTTTTGCGCTCAGCCTTTCTTATGGTCCAACTTTCACAGCCATACATTGCAACTGGGAAAACCATGGCCTGGACTATACACACTTTTGTACTAGAGGATTGCAAAAAAATAAATATTGGGGCTCAGAATTGTCCACATGTTAAATAATATTTTAGCTTATTGATCACTTCATTCAGCTTTCTACCAGGAAATCTGGAAAGATGTAATCCCAATAAATATACAGAGGCCATAGACTAGGAAAAGTTGCACTGACATATTACCAGATCTTCAGCAATGGGTCTCTTTGAGATTGGCATGATTTTTTTTCATCAAGATAACTTGTCCTATTTAACTTTTTAAAATATCTGCAGGCTGTCATTGAAGATGAAAGCCCTCTCAAGGCTTACCTAAATTTGATAAAGTAATAAAACGGTCTGAGAGGTAATAAGATGAATAAGCAGCAGCAAGATAAATGTTAGAGCAATGAAGTGATGGCAAGAAGAAATTCACATCAGCAGGGGCTTCCATAGCAAGGAGTCAACATGTAGGGGAGAGCTGAGATGGCCTTGAAAAAAATGTGCAGCTACCTTCAGAAAAACATAAGCTTAGCCTGGGAAAATAGGAAGGCCTAAGAAAGAAACACCTTGACTCTCTTTGGTTTAAGAGGGATGGAAGGGCAAACACTGCCAGACTTCAAGATTCTATTATCAATGTTTCTCAACCTTGGACTTCGACATGCTGGCTGGGAATTCTGGGAGTTGAGGTCCACATGTCTTAAAGTGGCCAGATCCGAGAAATATTGTCAATAAATATTATCGATAAAAATATTGATATAACACAAAACCACTATTTCTTATGGTGTCCATTTCCTGACCTGGCCTACCCCAAAGGGTGCACATAAAAGTCAAAATGGTGAGCTCAGTGGTGTCGTTGCAGTGGCCTTCTTGATGTTTTGGTCCCCAACTCCTCTACCCACCTTAGGCTTAAAGTATTTTGATGGTACGGTATATGCCGGCGTATAAGACGACCTCCAGAAGCGCTAAACTCGGCGCCAAAGACGGGGGTCGTCTTATACGCCGAGTCATCTTATACGCCGGAAATACTGGTAGTTTCCAGCGTATAAGACGACGTTCTAGGAAGGTGACCCAGCGATAAAGACAGGGGTCGTCTTATACGCCGGGTCGCCTAATACGCCGGCATATACAGTATATTATTCTTCCAAACTTTTGATAAAGCCTTAAACCAGCTAAAATTAAGTGTTAAAATGCTCTTTGTGATTTCAGCATGATATGTCTGGCCCGCGGGCTGACAGTTTGACACCTCTGATCTAAAAACTGCCAATTGAGACCAGCACTACTCATACAGTGTGCTCCTTATCTCTGGTTTTCTTGCTGATTTGCTCCATGTTCTGAAACATTTCCTCATTTTTTTCTTCTTGTATTTATTTATTTTTTCATCTTCTCACCTTTGTCCAGTGACCGAACTGCATGCTACTATTATTACTGGCATCTGAGGAAACAAGTCCTACGTTCTCAGTGCATGCTGCGCGAAGAGGCCTATTTCCTCCTAGCAGCCTTTGCATTGCAGGCTGACCTGGGCAATTTCAAAAGGAACAAGCATTTTGGGAAATACTTTGAACCTGAGGCATACTTTCCTGCATGGGTAAGGACGCCTTCGAAGACCACCTTCTTGTCTTCAAGGGCATGTTTTTCGTTTACTCTGAATGTTGAAACACAAACGAAGCCTGTAGGGGGGCAGGGTTGGCCATTTCCGGAAACATTTCAGGCAGCAGATGCTGTTTCGGTACAGAGTTGGACAGTGTCCCCAGTAGCTGGATAAAATGTAGAAGATCACAGTAGACTTTTTCAGCTTTGCCAGAGCCAAGTTGGTTTTTGCAGAAATTTGGCCACTGAGTCTCCCTGCTTAGTGTTTGTAATGGAAAAGAAAATATGGCTGTTTGGTCAACTTTGCTGTCGATGTGCTTAGCCATTTGAAGCAATTGTGATAGCAACTGTGCAAAGGACAGAAATACCAAAGGAGTTTGTTCCAGTTGACCAATATTAATAAGAGCTTGTATGGTTTTCAAATCAGCTGGACAAGAACTCAGAAGCTATAGATAAGGTTGAGGTGTTACGTTGTAAAATTGGCTTTAGGGCTTCCTGGCTTTTTCCAGTAACTGGTGGTATGTTGCAAAAAATTCTAAAACAAGCTGATTGTTGAGGCCTGTTGGATCTCTGTGAATTAAGAGATGTTATAAAGAAAATGAGAGCGTCCTTAAAACAGTACTTTACAAGGGAAACTCAGTGATAATAAAAGAACTTTGCTTTTGTGAGGGTACAATTTGAAAATTATAAGTCTAATATTTTGGACCTTACTTACTGAAGAAGTTGTCATAAGAGGGAGGAATAAGGTGCAATGTGCCTTACATCAGAGCACCTGTCCATGTAATCAAGTTTGGTTTGGTAGCATAATAACAGTTCTCCAAATTTATAGGAAGGGACTTTCACCATCACCTACTCCTGTATCCTTTTGAATAAAAATGTCAGGGATTCAGATGGAATATTCTATGGTAGTCCTTGTTGAATGACTGCTCATTCAGCAACCATTCAAAGTGATGACAATGCTAAGTGAGGGGGACATATGGCAAGTCTTGGTAGTTGTAATCCTTGCAGCATCCCCACAATCACGTGATTATGATTTGGACACTTGGCAACCAGCTCGCAGTTACAATGGCCACAGCATCCTGTGGTCACATGATCACTATTTGCAGTCTTCACTGCCAGCTTCCGACAAGCAAAGTCAGTGGGAAAGCCAGCAGGCAGTCGCAAATGGCGATCACGTGAGACACAGCAACCTTGCGGAATTCACCTAACATTGATAAGATTGCTGCAACTGCAGTCGTGTGACATGCTTTACAACTGCATTGCTTAACAATGGAGTCGTGAGTCCCAGTTACCATTATTAAACAAAGGCTGTCTGTATATGAAAAAAAAACATGTGCTCTGCATGCATAAGTCTTCTGTGAAGCCTTTGTCAAAAACATCTGTAGGGACAACAGCCATTCAGCGGCTGCAGTCTCTGGAATATTCTGTTTCTCCTCTGGGCCACATGGAACCTCCTCTGGGCTGCAGTTCCAGGTAGCACCCACCAGTTTCTGGAAGTAACTCCTCTGAATCAAAAATAGTGTGAGAAATGGTGCCTGCAGAGGGTGGGTGGGTGCTTTGATGGACTACAGTGAAGCAGCAATTTCCCTGGAAGGAGGAGGATGAGACAAGAACCACCATAGCCCAGACCTGGATAGGAGACAGTTAGAATAGCTACTCCATAGAATCTCCCAGAGTATATCCATTAGTAAGGGTTTAGTTTAGCAAAAAATTTTGTATTGTCTGTAAGCAAACAGAACTCTGGCTGTATTGTTCTATGTCATTTTTGGGTTTAGCTTGACAAGGAGTTTGAATGTGCCAGGTATTCCAAACAAAATCTCCTCTTTTAATTTTATCTTCACAATAAAAATAACTTCATTTGGAATGCTGTATCTGGGACACGCTTCCAAAATAATGAAAATCATCACAGGGAGATATTGATGGTGCTATATGTTGGAGAGAGGATATGGAAGCTGTGATGTGTAAGAGAGAGGTAGATCCCCTTCTTTGTCAGGTAGTGGAACCTCATGTGCTACCCTTGCTTCAGAGGCAAGATGTTTTTATTTATGCATATGATTCTTTGCTCTGGATCATAATTTACTTCATGTGGATATTTGTCCCCAGGGAAGCAGGTAGTTTAGAGCAGGGGTCCCCAACCCCCAGTCCATGGACTGGTACTGGGTCGTGGCATGCCAGCAACAGGTCCGCACAAACAAGCAAAGCCCCATCTGCAGAATGCAAGCAGCACGCAAAACCACACCCCCTCCAGTGCGCGGAAAAACCTCTCTCCACGGAACCGGTTCCTGGTGCCCAAAAGGTTGGGGACCTCTGGTTTAGAGATTGGGCTGTCTTTTTTAAGTTGGTTAACTGTAACCATATCAGAGAAATCATTCATAGTTTCAGGAAGGAGAGGTAACCTGTGGTTACCCATGTTTCTGGGATAATGTATGAGCTAGGCAGGGGATAGTAAGTGAAGAAGAGAAAATTGGCGCCCATGAAATGAGAGTACCTGCTTGGAGTTAAAGAGTAGTGATGGGGTAACAGGAGTTTGTGAGCATGTGAAAATATCTTCCCTGGCTGTGCCTTGTGGTACTAAGTGATTGTGGCAGCCAATGCTTCAGCTGGAATGTTTGGTAGTGGTAGATGCAGCAGCTGTGGGCATCCCTAGAATAGATTCTAGTTATAAAGAGAGGGTGATGTCATGGGGAACGCATAACAGAGACATTCATGCCTGTATAGCAGTATAGCAACATGGGTGGAAGAGGCAGAGAAGGAGTCAGTTAACTGTTTTTATTGCCTTCAGATTGCCTGCCTTAAGGGGGAAGGAGCCAACTTTCCAAATATGGCCCAGCTTCTTATCATCATCCTTGAATTTACCATCTTGTAGACAAATCTATCTGGATAATCATCATATGCATTTCTTTGTAGAGACCAGATACATTTTTAAAATTTATATCCTATCTTTTATTCTATGACTCACAACAAAATACATACATTACATAATCCAATGTTATTTTCACAGCAACCCTGTGAAGTAAGTTAAGCCAAAAGATTATAACTGACCCAATTTTTGTGATTGGAGTAAATTTAAACCTTCATCTTCTCAGTCCAGTGTTCTAACCACTGTATTAGATCAAATCTGCTAAGTTGCCACCTACAGGCATCTCTAAAACTCAAATATAGCACCAGGCTGTTGATACCTTGGTGAATGATTTGACTGATGCAGCAGACCCAGAGCCATGCAAAGGTCACTTTCACCAAATTCTTTGATAGGATGATGCAAAAAAAAAAAAAAAAACAAACCTCTTAGGATGTTCTGTGATAAAATTTAGAAAGTTATCAAACAAAACAATATTGCTAGTTTGTACCTAACAAAAACAGCAGCCGAGCCCATCATTCCTTCCACAAGGTGAAAATACTATTAATCAATGCTAAAATGACTTCATAGTTGCATCCCAAATTTTTGATCCCTTTTTTAGGTAGCAGAAAGAGGAAGGAGTAATTTCACTGCAGGACAATTATCGGAGGGGAAATCTAAAATGCAACTTTTAGAAACTATACAAAGAGAAGAAAGTCAAATCTTTTCTCTGTTATTCCAAGATGCATGTTATGGAATAATATATTAATTTCCTGGAAAGTTGATAACAGTAAGAATAGTTTAACAATTACTTAGAGAGGTGATGTATCCCGTGGTAGCAAATGAGCTATTAAATGCAAAACATAATATCTCTGGGGTCTCTATGAAAAAAACATGGCATATGCTGGAAGGATGTCTCCTGCTTTTTGCAGATGCAGCCTTCTGCTCTGCAGATATGTTGGGGCTACAGGCTCAGAATTCATAGCAGCAGTTATTTGCCTGGGCTGGCAGGTTTCCTGGAATTATGGCCCCAGTGGTGGCTGGGAAATTCTGGGAGTTGAAGTCCACCTATCTTAAAGGTGCTGAGGTTGAGAAAGACTGATTTATGGCAAGGTAGCACATTAGCATAAGGCAGCTTCATGCACCAAATGCTTGTGGTGAAACCTTCCTATTGTGCAATGGAAACATGGTTTGATAGCTTTCCTAGTAGGTGAACTGACCTCTTTTCAAGTTCTGCCAACTCCCAAGGCAACTGTTGGTGTAAACTTGCCAGGTAAGAAGATAATAACCTCTCAACAGTGTTGACTCGCTGTTTCCATTTTGAGCCACCTTCCCTGGAGTATTTTAATATCTCCTCTCCTTTGCTTTGTTTTTGAAAGCCATAGGCGTCCGTTAGTACAGACAGCTGTAGAGGATAGATCTATTAGTCTTGTAGACCCACTGTTACATCTGGGCTAAGGGCTGCATACTATCAAATATTACTTGAAGGGAAACGGTGGTGGATGGTGTGCATAGTCTCATCTCCCACTTTCAAACTCACAGAGGTTGGCCACTTTAAGAAACAAAATGGTGAATTAAGGCAAGCCTTAGCCTGATTCAACAGAGTTGTTTTTATATTCTTCACCCCTTGGTTATTCTGAAATAGAACAATCTTTTAATGCCTAAAATGTCCCAGGAAATGCATAAGCACCATTTTCATTGCCTCCAAGTCATCTGGAGCAGGGAAGGTTGCAATCAGTGTGCAAAGGGGGATGTCTCCTGGCTGTGCTAATGATTGTTGTGGGTTTCTTTGGCTGCTGTGTATTTTAATCTTTGTACACATTTCTTTTACTTTTTTAATACTGTCACCCAGAGTCATATAAATTGACTAAATAGATAGTTGAACAGCTAAGTGCCTGAGATTATGAACCCATATCCTAATAATTAATATGTAATTTTCTTCCTGACAGGTGGTGGCCAAGAGAGGGAAGGATTACATCCTGAAACACATCCCCATCATGCACAAAGACCAATGTGCTCTGACTGCCTCTGAAGCCCACCTTAAGTACATCAAGGAAGCTGTTCGGTTGGATGATGTAGCTGTCCATTATTATAGATTGTACAAGGTATGGAATGAGGCTACCGCAAAAAAATCTTTGGGTAAAGTGACCACTGTTTAGCAGTTTCTCACCTTTTTAACGGGATGATGCCTCCCAGTTGTAATTTTTAACCATTTACCTATCTTACAAATCTTTCACATCATAAAAATAAAATAAAATAAAATTCTTTTGAGGGTAGGCTTGGAGGCACATTTTAAATTGCAAGTCAAGAAGCTACAGTTTTTTTAATAGCTTCTTTTCAAAAACTGGTGATAAAGATGTGCGGTGAATTCTTAAGTTGTGAGCATTGTGCTGCCTGGCAGCTGAGATTCAGGAGGATGTTACCTGGACTGGCACTAACTTTGTTGGATGTAATCATGATCCTTTAGTAATTGCTTTGCAAGCAAATGTTTGAAATGTTTTTCAAAATGACAATGGGAGTGTGGATTATTCAGTGAGTTGAGTAATGTGCACAGCTCAGAGGAAAGATGACTTAACAATAGGAACGGACCAGAATTAATTTCCCATCTTGCATTTAAGAAGATAATGCTATCCAGAACCTGATTCAGAGAGTGATACGTTAGCTTGCTGAATATTTTTCAAATAATTGAAATGCATTGCCCAATAGCAGCATAAGTCCCACTTTGCTGGAACTGTTCAAGGTCATTGGGATGAAATTCTCTGTAGGACCTGACTTTTACAAATTCAAGGGCTCCACTATGGATTTCTTTACCTGTGCACATCCCAAATATTAGAGCCAGGATTGGAAACAGTCTCTGATTGTTTATAATGACATAGTGTATGCTGGGAGTGGATATTTTTTTAGATATTGAAAAAATACTGATATTTTCTAGATACTGAATTACACAGTGCAGTCTTTTAAGAAACCAAAATTACCCCATTTAGAATGATACATTCATTGCTCAACTGGCATTCATTGAATTGTGTTTAGGGTATATTGAAATACAGCTGTAATTGTTAAATGGAGCTTTTATTTGCAAAGATGTGTACTTCCAAATGCTAGTGGTTTGTAGGAAGCAAGCAGGAGATGCTGCCGTATGTGTCATCTAGCTATTTTGTTGGAAAGCTAAGCCTTCCCTCCAAATACTCCTCCAAAGCAAAATAAAAGTAAGAAAACCCTTCAAGCTCAAAATGCTGATCTCACCTACTCCAAAATAATTTTGGAGGTGCCAAAGGGATGATGCTGAAAGAGAATGAAGTTGTGAGTTATACTCCTGCATCTTCATCCTGGTCTTTCTGAGGATTATATGGTTGTGGTCCAACCAATTCTTGCAGTGCTAAAAAAAACCACCCTCAAATCTTCCTTTCATTTGGGTCTTGATATAGGAATGCTTCTTTCCTCAATCAGCTAGTGAATATGTGTACAGCTAGGTTGTCATTGATATGTCAGCCAACTGTATTATGTGAGAAAATAATGCAAGTGTATTTTCTCTCTTGTAGGACAAGAAAGAAATTGAGGCTTCCCTCTCTCTTGGGCTTACCACAAAGGGAATCCAGATATTCCAGGTACATGTTTCCATAACTGACTTATTGGTACAGACCATTCAGTTACCTGTCCAGACATGATTGAGGCCATTTCTTTTCCAGGATTCTGGCAGAGGTGCACAAGCTGTGGTCCCAAGGTCTTACGTAATTCCTCAAAGCCTTAGATGTGGACCCAGTAACCTCCAAATTTACTTTTTTTTAAAACTCTGAAAGTATTAAATGTCTGACCCAAGAACAATATTGGGTTTAATTTTAAAATGAAATGAAATAATTCTGGGGGTCCTGTCCGCCACACCATGCATTCCATACATACTCAAAGCTTTCATCTGGAAAATGTTGCATCCTCCTGCTGTTGAGCTGAATCTTTTCTTTTTTCTTTTTTTGCAACAGCGTATCAGAGCAGGAAGATGTTTCTCGGCCTAGTTTTTGCAAAGTGAGCACTGGAAAAGTGCTCCAGCGTGCTACATCCTATTCAATAGAAGGATTTTTTGTTGTCGTTGTTAAAAATACTGTTCTCTGAACCCAATTCTGCAGAGCTTATTATCTAAGTGAATTAAACATTTTGAGTAAATAATGTAAATAAATAGAGTAAAGCCCACCTTTCCCCCCCCCCTCCGCCGTGCTTCCTGATGCCCCTCCACTCATCTTTTTAGTAGCCCCAGGGCAAGATGGGCAGCAAACAAATTTAACAAGAAATAAAAGAGTCATAATTCCATTGTTGAAATTCTGTAGCTCATATGCAAACCTAACCTGAAGCATATACCAGTATGATATTCTGGTTAAGATGGTGAAGTACAAGGTTCAAATCCACCCCATTTATGGAAGCTCACTGGATGACTTTGAACTAGTGCCTTACTCTTAACCAACTTACCTGAAGAGCTGGGAATTGCTGTTTTAGAGGAAAATTGGAAAAGAGTATTTATGCTAAATATTTTTTTATTCCAAAAAGAAATAAAAAATACAAACTGAATGAATGTGGCTTTCTGCATTATTTTATACCCTGCTGGTAACTGAGTGGGCAAACATTCCAGATGTTGGCTCAAGATCACCTACTATAGATGGCTTTTTGCCTAAGGAAGGACTAGAACTCAAAATCTCCCAGTTTCTAGCTTAACCGCTATACCAAACTGGCTGTCTATCCCTAGGATAATGCAGCTCTTAACAGGAAAAAAAAGTTATCTGCCAAATCTAATCAGCCAGTCCAATCTAATCAGCACAAGCAGTACCTCATATGCAATGTGACAAGCATCATGTCAAGCAAATCATTTGAAAACCTCATGAATCTATTTTCTTTTTGACTTATGAAATGAAAAATGGTGGCTGAATTCAGTGAGCAGGGCACATTGCTTCAGCTGTATACTTTCTAAGATAAGTGGAGCATAATCAGGTTACCTTTTTTCCCTTCACTCTTTCAGAATATAAACAGTGAAAGACAACTGTTGTATGACTTCCCTTGGACAAACGTAGGAAAACTTGTATTTGTGGTGAGTAGGAAAATACCAAAGTTGGATCCTCCTTAGTGAAGGCATTTTGATACCATATATAATATGACAAACACGGTGAGATGGAGATAACCAGAGACAGAACTTCAAGAAAAGCCCTACAAAGCCAGGCTAAACTGACGCCTCTGTCCTTTGGTGAACTTCATGTCTCTTGTCTTTGCAGGGCAAGAGATTTGAGATTCTGCCTGATGGCCTGCCATCTGCTCGCAAGCTCACCTACTACACTGGCTGTCCTTTGCGATCTCAGCATCTCCTGCAACTCCTGAGCAATAGCCATCGCCTTTACATGAACCTGCAACCACTCCTACGCCAGATCAGGAAGCTAGAGGAGAATGAAGGTAGCGATCCCATCTCTGCCAATTTGAAACAATATATTCATTTCTTGACTTCATGATAGCACCCACTGTACATGAAGCTATACATAGGCTTCATCGTTCTGAGCCAACAGTTCAGGTGCATAGGTTAAGTATGGGTGGGTTACCTTTCATGTATAATTCTTCCAGAGAAAAAACAATATCGTGAGTCCTACATCAGCGATGCCCTGGACCTTGATATGGATCAACTGGAAAAGCGTTCCCGAGCCAGCGGAAGTAGTTCAGGCAGTGTGAAGCACAAGCGTCTCTCCCGCCACTCAACTGCGAGCCATAGCAGCTCCCACACCTCTGGAATTGAGACTGATCCAAAGCCCAGGGACCGGGGGGCTGAGGAGGACTTCATGGTGGCTGCTGTCCATCGCCAGCTGAGAGCTTGCAGCTCTATGACCAGTCATGGTAGTTCTCATACCTCTGGAGTAGAAAGCAGTGAGAAGGAACGCCTGGAGGAGGACTCCTCTCAGGAGGATGGTAACTGTCCATATTTGGTTCATTCTTTGGCCAGTAAATGTAGAGTTTGGGTTTGTTGGTTTGTTTGCTTCCTGAATTGGGATTCAAGTTCCAGAATATGGAATATAGTAATACTTTACATGGATGATAAATTTGTTCATGTACAGTACTGCCTATTTATTTACTTTTTAGATTAGATTAGATTAGATAACCTTTATTGTCATTTTTTCCCTGTGGGCACAATGGCACACATTAAAAATGAAATTTAGTTGCTTCCTCTCAAAGTGTACACATATATAACACACATTTAAAACATACTATATACAACATATGTATAGACCTACACCCTTACATATTATTCACTGTCCATCTTGAATACATAATGGAAGGAGGAAGCTTTAGAGTTCACAAGGTTGATAATGTAGATGTTTTTGTATTTTCTATATCATCTATTGATTTAGAAATATATATTTTATATTTTTTTCTTTATGCATTTTGGAGATGATGATGATGATGATGATATAGAGTTGGAAGGGACCTTGGAGGTTTTCTACTCCAACCCCCTGCTCAGGCAGGAAACCTATACCATTTCAGACAAATGGTTGTCCAGTCTCTTCTTAAAAACTTCCAGTGTTGGAGCATTCACAGCTTCTGGAGGCAGGTTGTTCCACTGATTAATTGTTCTAACTGTCAGGAAATTTCTCCCTAGTTCTAGGTTGCTTCTCTCTTTGATTAATTTCCATCCATTGCTTCTTGTCCTGCCTTCAGGAGCTTTGGAGAACAGCTTGACTGCCTCTTCTTTGTGGCAGCCCCTGAGATATTGGAACATGGCTATCATGTCACCCCTCATCCTTCTCTTCATTGAACTAGACACACCCAATTCCAGCAACCGTTCTTTATATGTTTTAGTCTCCAGTCCCCTGATCATCTTTGTTGCTCTTCTCTGTTATCTTTCTAGAGTCTCAACATCTTTCTAGAGTCCCAATATCATGGTGACCAAAATTATTTGATGTTTGTTAATTGTAGTTCAATAAAGACAATGAAAAATTTAAAACAATGAATTCAAAATATCAAGTTTGAAAAGCAATTTTGCAACAGCCTTGGGAATGGCTTTTCTCTGCTTGAGTTTCTGGAGACCCACTGCCAATTAGCATAACCAGTTTTCTGATATGCTGGGTATCAACTCACATAATTTCTCAGGATGCCAAAGGGATTCTGGATATTAGTCCAACACATCTATAAGGAACCACCAATCTTTGCGGGACTGATATACACCAGGTTTTTTTTCAAACTGTGTTCTGCAAGAACCTATGGATGCATAAGAACTTGATGGGGTTTATTTTTGAACACAGTCAATTTTTATCTAGAGCTTTGCCTCTTGATTAGAGTTTTGTGGCATTTTTAACTATCAATTTCCACTGCCTGAAAAGATTTGAAAACTGCTGGTAGAGACAGTGCTCAGCTAGAGGAACCAATGGCCTGCATCCTTCTTCTGCTTTGGCTTCTATGTCATTATCTCTTTAGTATTTCCTATTACTAAAAATAACACAGGCTGTATTCTCAAGATTAAAGAGTGGGAAAATACAAGATGAACAAAACATGCCAGCATTCTCCCAGTAGGTGTCAGGTTTTCTTCCTTTTTTATTTTTATTGAAGTTTGGTGGAAGCCAGAAGGAAGTTATCACGAGTGAAGAAATGGCCCGTGCTAATCCTTTCCATGTGGATTTCATCCTGTCCTGCAGCTGGTGGGACAAAGAGCCTAGAAGGAAAAGGGGGATGTGCATCAGCTTCCTCTGTTATTTCTCTGCATTTGATTGCTGCCTCCGCAGCTGCTTTTCATTCTGGGAACAAAAGAAAAGGCACCCTATGTCTTGTACTCCCCCTTTAGATTTTTGGGGCCTAAACCATTAGGAAAAAAAGTAGTGTTGCTTTGTCTGGATCTCTCAAATTCATCTATAGCTATTGTAAAGATGAGATGATGCTTTGTTGTACCCACAGTCTTGTCAATGTAGCTGTTCCAGCTCCTCCTCTCACCTGGCATTTATTCTCTCTTTGTTTCAGAAATAGAGATGCTTGTTGATGATCCTCGAGATCTTGAGCCAACAAGCGAAACATCTATGGATGACGTCAATCCTGATGTTTGCATTTACATCACAGAGGACATGCTGATGGCCCGGAAGTTTAATGGACATTCAGGTAATATACCTGAGTTTATTGTAAGGAACAAAAGAATAACCCTAATATTTTTATTACTATTACAAAAGGTTCAAAGAAATGTAGATATATACAATACATGCAACATATCAATTATTTAATGATAAATAAAGAAGTAACCATTCATTTCACGTTAGCAGTTTCCAGCAGAGTAGGTGTATCAGACTTAATTTTTAACATCTTGTATTTTATATACCAAACTGTGCCATATCAGGATGAATTTTGACCATCTTCGCTCAAATAATTTTCAGGGTGACAGAATAACAGAGTTGGAAGGGACCCTGGAGGTCATCTAGGCCAACCCCCTGCTCAGGCAGAGAACCCCATACCATTTCAGACAAATGATTGTCCAATCTCTTCTTAAAAACTTCCAGTGTTGGAGCATTCACAGCTTCTGGAGGCAGGTTGTTCCATCCATTGCTTCTTGTCCTGCCTTCAGGTGCTTTGGAGAATAGCTTGACTCCCTCTTCTTTGTGGCAACCCCTGAGATATTGGAACACTGCAATCATGCCACCCCTTGTCCTTCTCTTCATTAAACAAGGACAGCCTTCCTTGTACAGGATCCTCCAGAAAAATGCTTCCATAATCCCTAGTTAGCATGGGAATTGAAGTCTGCACATATGGAGAGCACCTGGTTAAGGAAAATTGTGTTTATTTCATTGACTCATTATTGACGTATTTAGAATTCTGTAAAGGCCAGTTAAAAGATAACAGAGTCATATGATTTTACAATGCAATCCAATGCCAAAAGTACACTTTAAATGTACTGTATTCTGTGCAATACTTACAATACCATGAAAACTACATGCTGATTGAATCAGGAAAACATCTCACCTCTTTTGGTTTTTATTTTTTTGTCACCTAACTCAGGATTAGTTGTCAAAGAAGTGAATTCGTCTACTTCCAGCTCTTCAGAGACAGTGGTAAAACTTCGTGGCCAGAGCATTGATTCATTGCCACAGGTTTGTGAAATAGATGGGAAAAACCAAATCAGACTGAATGGGTGGATGTCCATGACAGAATATAGCATTGTAATGGCAGCTAGTCATAAAAAGGAATGGAAACAAAACCACTGTTTTGGGAATGGTAGAAAAATCCCTTCCATATGTTTTCATTTGTCTGTTACATTTCAAGCATCACAATGATGTTTTAATGCTGTCTTCTACTTTTGTCTGTTTGCAATACAATACCTTAACTGTAGGCAAAAAAAGGAGAAGTAAAACAAATACACCGGATTATTGCTTGACAAGCACCTTATCAGGCACTTTAAGCTTTGGGATAATCCAAAAATCTCAATGAAAATTGTTTGGCTGAGTTTGCACAATATGTCAGTCTAGGCTAAAATGTAATTCAGTTGTTGGTGGATCAGTGTCTTATAGTAATATGGTTTTTATCTTAGTATGTTGTGTGAAGGACTCACCCACAAAATAAGGTTTGTTACTTATTTTTATTCATCAAACAAAAAATTGTTTGACGAATTCAAACAAAGAAAATAAGAAAATCAAAATGGGACAGGGACAATGGGCACACCAGTGCACTTATGCACACCCCCATACATATGGAGTGAGGTCCACAGAAGTTAAGTTAGAATTAAAGCTGTGAAAGTTAATAGCTGAGATTACTGAATCAGATAAGATAGTCCAGACTTTGAGAATTCCGTTACACAAATTTATTTTTTTACAATTGAGTTTAGAGCAGTTAACATTAAGTTTAAAGGGGTTGTTTGCACACATTACATTATGATTAAAGCTAAAAAAAAAAGTCATTTACAGATGAGCGTTAATATGTACAATTTTGTATGCAATACCTAAGTTTCAACATGTTGAAACCAACATGTGATGTGATTACAGTGATTGTGCTTTGTCAGCCCATGTTTACAATTTAATGTATTGTTTGAACTCAGCCTGTGTGTCTTCTCAAGTTCCTACTCTCCTGAGAGAAGAGGCTAAATTTGGGGAAAGATCATTCTTTTCCCAGTCAGACTGAAGAGCCATCAACAGCAGCAACAACAAAATCTCAGGATATTTTGATCAATATCAAATTGTATTTAAAGAACCTACCAGACAGAGATAAAGCGAGTTGTTCCATACAACTTGAGGGACTCAGAATAAGGAAGGGCAAATTAAAACTTTCCTTGTTTTCTACAGAGCATCTGTCAGAAGCCAAGGACCTCCACTGATCGCCACAGCCTAAGTCTGGATGACATTCGGCTCTACCAAAAAGACTTCTTGCGCCTGGCAAGCTTATGCCAAGAGACAGCACAGAGTTATACGTTTGGGTGTGGCCATGGATTGGCTGAAGAGGGTCTGTATTGCAACGGCTGTTTAGCTCAGCAGTGCATCAATATCCAAAACGCTTTTCCCGTCAAAAGAGCCAGCAAATACTTTTCCTTGGACCTTGCCCATGAAGATGTTCCAGAATTTGTTGTCTGATGCTGACATTGGGTGCTATAGCAAGACAACACAGTGTTTCCAGTTCCAAAAACTAGTGTGCCAAACAGGAATTTCCCTGCTCAATGGTTTTCCCAGGATACTAAAAAAAAAAAATCAAGGCCTTGTAAACTGTTGCACTTTTATAAAAGCTTGTCCTATTTGCGGGCTCTTCAGCATCAATGTTTGCCGGGAGGCAGAATTTGATTGGGTTAAAAATCAGTTGGATTTAGAAGACCTGGTCTCTTCTTTTGAAAGCAGCCAACTTGGAGAACATTTTGTTTCACAAGAAGGATGCACAATGTTTACTTTGAATATAGACGTATCTCTTGTATTTTTTTTTTTAATTTGCTTCATGGGAGCTCTTCTGCGCTATGCATACCATAGATTTTTGCATCACCTTTGCAGTTTAGTTTTTCCCCTTGTGAGAATAATCGCGTTAGTTGTTCTTCTCCATTCCCATTGGTTGTGCCATGTCAAGCCAAAGAAATGCACCCTCCAAAGTGGGTGACATCAAAGACAGAGCTATAAGCAATAACTAGCCCAAAGGATATCTGTGTAGAAAAGTTGCTCAGAGGATGAAAGCAACTTGAGATGCAATGAATCCATCTTGTGATCTCCCCCCTCACAAAAAAAAGTATGTAAACTTTTGATCCAAATGGAATATTTTTGCGCTATTTGTAAAGTTTACAAAAAAAAAAAAACCTGAACCAAAACAAGCAAATGAACAACAACAAAAAAATCCCCAAACAGATGTTAGATGGTTTGGAAAACTTTCTGGAATCTTTGTTGTTTCAAAAGGGAAAAAAATGAGGATGTAGCAATAGGATTTGCTGACCAAAAGTACCTTAAGTTCAGAGAGAGAGAGAGAGAGAGAGAGAGAGAGAGAGAGAGAGAGAGAGAGAGAGAGAGAGCATGTGTGAGAGAGAGTGAATATAAAAATATGCACATTGCAGAAAAGAGTATATGTTTAATGTATTTTTGAAAATATAAAATTATGTTTTATTTTGGTTTTGATTTCTGTGCTTTTCGAAAAGAGAAATTAATGCTTCCTTTCTTTCAAACTGCATGTATAGACAATCGTGCAAATGCACATTTTACATATGGTTAAAACAGCTTCTTTTTTGGTTTTTTTGTTTTGTTTTGTTGCTATTGAACATAATAAGAGGAGAGAGTTGTTTCTGCATTGCAAACGTGGCTTCCCTGCTCCATTTTTTTTTTAAACTTAACTTTTGCTTCCATGTATCATGAAATGTCCCTCTTCCCCTTTCTGGAAAGGGGAAAGATTTCTATCTTGTTTCAGTGTTAGATCAATGAACAAGTGTGGCTTTCAAGAGGAATGCTCTGATTTTATGTCTGCCATAGATTGTAACAAAAGCTCCGTTTAGCTGCCATCCTCCTATCTCCAAAGAGGAGATCACAGTGGGATCTTTTTTAGGCGGCTCCATTATAAGACTGTCAACTCTTCCATTGTCTAAGCCAGGGGTAGGCAACCTTGGCTCTTTTATGACTCCTGGACTTCAACTCCCAGAATTCCTGAGCCAGCATGGCTCATCTTGGAAACCTCTCCCTTTTCCGTCAGCATGGCTGGCTCAGGAATTCTGGGAGTTGAAGTCCATGAGTCATAAAAAAGCCAAGGTTGCCTACTCCTGGTCTAAGCACACTGAGGAGAAGGAAGGAATATCCATAGAACAGAGATAGGAGAATGCTATCCAATACATTTTCCCTGCAGCACTGTGACTGGTCTTGCGCAACACTATTTCTAGTAACTGCACAATGTGCAAAAGCTTGGTTAATTTTAACCTTGATTATTTGTTATTATTTGTTAGCATATTTCACAACTGAATCCCTTATTTAGTTTGTAGCAGCTTTTTGCAAATCCAGGAGTAGGTTGATTCAGCTACCAATTAAGAGCAACATATGAATCCAACCACCCTGTACTCTTAGCAAAAAAAAAAAAATCCAGTGTAGTATTTATAACTTAAAAATGAATTATGAGTAATTGCCTGTTTTTAGTAGATTGGAAAAAATAGAAATATTTACATATTGCTTCTTCAGGGTGTCAGACTATCAGAAACGTGTGACTCAATAACCAACACATTTTTTTCCATTCCTTCCCCAAGAGAATTGAGGATTTCAATCTCCACCAGGAGTTTTGAAGTCCATCTTTGCCTCCTTACCTCTTTACCGTTGTGCTTTAGGGGTCCCTTCAGCCATTGGTTAGGTCCATAAGATTTGCACTTAATAGACTAGGATATATGCATACAGCAAATGCTTATTTTACTATCCATGTATCTGCACGTAATTATTTTGCAGTCTCCTATGAAACGAAATATGCAAATACCACCTGCAGTAGGCCACTCTGTGGCAGCAGTTAATCAGCCTTGATTGAAACTAGTTAACATGGGACCTGGTTTGTATTTGAGAAGGAGCCCAGCAGAAATTCTATAGGCCGGGAAGATACAAAAACATCCCTAATCACAATGGCAGACCACTTTCAGCTTGTTCCCATGAAAATAATACAGATGCTTCTGTGGCATCACTAAGCCTAGAGCTCAACCCAAGGGAGATTTTATCTTTAGGACATAGAAGTAGCCAGGTCTTCCTATGCTGGCAACATGCCATGCAAAGCATTTGCTGGTGTGTGACATTTTCTACTAGAGCAGTGGTTCTCAACCTTTTTAATGCCGCAACCCCCAACCGGTCATAAGTCGAGGACTACTCAACTGGTCATAAGTCGAGGACTACTCAACTGGTGCAGCACCGTTTGCAGAATGGGACTTTTGGCGGGCTCAGCAGGGCAGAGACAGCCTGGACAATTCCTATTGGCTTTTGAAAGCCAATAAAATTAGACTCTATTCAAGAGAGTCTCTTCTATTGGCTTTCAAAAGCCAATAGAATAAAAGGGAGTAGCACAGCTAAGGAAAAGGGAGGGAAAAATAGCGGACTGTGTTGTTTGGCGACCCCCGTGAAATGGTCGTTTGACCCCAAATGGGGTCCCGACCCACAGGTTGAGAACCACTGCCCTAGACCATAGTATAGTTCTCTGGAAGACCCCGATGCTTGTCAGTGTTCTAGATGGCTAACTTTTCTGATCTCTGGTCCCAGGGTACCTGGAGATTTTGCATGACTTGTGGATAAATTCTCCTCCTGACATATTTGCAGCACTTTCAGGAGGAGAACTTCCTGTCTCAGAAGACAGCAGCCATGGACTTCTTTGTGATGGGAAAGGGGCAGATTTTCTCCTTTATCAGGAATTGTTCTAGTGGCACAGTAATTTTCAGCCACTATTGGGAGAAGTGCATTCACAAACAAAGTAAAAAGATTCATAGCATATTGCCTTAAAAATATATATATATTTGTGAGATTTTGTAATTATAGCCATAGTATTGCCATATTTTGATATGTGGTATTTTTCTAACTGAAAACATACACACATTACACACACACACACACACACACACATATATATATATAAATATACGTATCTCTTTGCACACATACACAAAGGATATTTTTATTTTTAAAAAATTAGTACAATATTTTACTTAGGGGGGGTGTCAGGTGATGCCAAAATCAAATTATGGGTATTTTGTTGGGTCAGTAAGGATTGTATAAATCAGCTGTCAAATGATGATGATGATAAAATGTAGCCAGCATGTGGGCACTGAGATATTTACATCTTTGGTGAACTTGTTGCTGCTTCCTTTGGATAGCAGTACAAATTACAGTGCCAATGCACTGATATTTTTCTCTTCATAAATTCCAGTGGGTTGACACAGCTTAGTAATTGTCTACCTTCACTGAAGCACCGTGCCATGGGTCTTTATTTTGATAAACCTTTTCTCCCATCTGGCAGGTCATGTTGGGTCTGTTGGATGATGCAAGCTTGAAGGAATGTGATATTGCCATGTGTTATATTGTCCGTTCTACTTGCTAAGCTGTTTATTGCATCATCTGGAGCACTGACAGGAGTGACTCATCCATATATGTGCAAAGAAGGCTTTTCTTAAGAAGATATTTGTCAGAAAGGATGAGACCCAGTTTCACAGTCTGAATTTCTCCAGCTGCCTGACATAAATTCAGAAGGGTTCTCCCCTTTCACAATGCCACATAGGTATATGCAGAGAGATTGATCAGTCTCCCAAGTCTACCCAAAATTTGCTTCATGCACAGCAATAATAAAATGTATAACACTGGATAAACTAAAAAAAGCTTCCAGCTGTCCCAGCCCAAACAAATCCAGCACAATTCTTGGATTATGAATTGCTATTAGAAGTTCACCTGTTGTATACCACCAAAAAATTGCCTATTGTAAATACCAGGTAATATCAGTCTAAGATTTGGTGTTCCACAAATCTACTTGCATTGTGAAATAATAGTCTGAAATCAAATAAAGACCCATGTGAACAGATAAATGAGGCTGGCTGGGTAGGAGAACATGGTATTAAAACCATATTTATCATTCCTTGGGTTGCCTTAAACTTCTGCCATATACTACTTATTTGAGTCTTGAGTTGTCTGCTTCAGCACATTTTCCTTTTTTGTCTCGTGTTTGTATCTGATTTTAAAGATGTTCTCATCCAGAAGCCTGATGTGTTGCACAAAAGTGAGGCCCATATTGTCACTGCTTTGTGGTGTGTGTGCAGGGGGGAGGGGGAACCACCCCAGTGTCATTGTTCAGTGGGATGAAAGAGGTTTTATGGAGTGAAACTTTCTGGGATGGATTAAAGAACAGTATCACTCAAAACAATACGTTATATTGAAATAAGTCTGTTTCAGGTTTAGAAGCAGCAGAGATGGGAGCAGCTCCCCAAATCACCAAAGTAAAATTTAATTGCTTATAATATAACAGTAGTAATTGAAATACTGCAGTGAAAGTATCTGACTAGACTGCAGAAGAGCACTGGTGAAAAAGAATCACATGAGTCCATATTGTTTGGGAAATATACCAAAAACATTTTCCTCAGATTCACAAAACTGAGGAAGTTGGTTTTAAAAAAAATATACTGTATTTGGTGAGTTCCACGGTACACACGGGAGTTCCTTGTTGGTTGACAGACACTTCGGAGGCTGAATTTAAACTTAGGAAAATTTAAGCCATGGAAAAAAGAATTGGTAAATTAGTAATTCAATGTTTCGCCCATCTCTGCTTCTAATAACTAATCTTGGCAGCATCCCTAGTTATGTCAACTGGAAAGGCTGAGCAAATATGGCTATCAAGAAATATTCATAAGCAACAGTATAGAATCTGCGGGTGAAGGTTCGTTCTTGGAGCTTGAGGGTTGGTTTCTGAACGTTTCGTTACCAGGCTAGGTAATATCTTCAGCATTGTTTAGGGCAGGGGTAGGCAACCTTGGCTCAGGAATTCTGGGAGTCTAAGTCCATGAGTCATAAAAGAGCCAAGGTTGCCTACCCCTGGTTTAGGGGATGTCTGTGTCAGTGTTCTACTTATATAAGGGCTTCAGGTGTGGGAGTGTCAAGTGAAGGTCTTGTGATGGGCCAGGTGTGAGTCATCAGAGAGAGGCTTGTGATGGGGAGGTACAGCCTCTCTCTGATGACTTACACCTGGTCCATCACCCTGACACAGACATCCACTAAACACTGCTGAAGATGTTATCTAGCCTGGTAATGAAACATTCGGAAACAAACCCTCATCCTACACCTGAGCTACAGATATTCGCCACTATTGCAAAAGAATAGAATCTTTTTCCAGTTCCAGTGCTTTTTCCTCTTCTCCATAAAGAGGTTGCTTCCATTCATTCACAAAGGATTCTGACTTTCCTAAATCGATATATCCTTCAGATATATGGATTACCACTCAGAATTCCTCAGCGGGCATGACTGGCTGAGAAGTTTTGAAGCTAAGGTCTACATATGTGAAAGATGTCCAGGTTAAGGAAGGTTGAAGTAACTCTGCTTAAAAGGTATTGTTGATTCCAATATTGGTTTCAATATCTGGGTAGCCCCAATGTGAATGGGTTTGTGGGCAATTGAGAAAGTATGAACACCAT